TAACGCTGGATTATCACCACTTTTGAGAGTGAAAAATGCCGGTCATGCCCAGCAGCCTGGTCTTTTGTTACAGGGCCCTGTTTCCTTTGTCCGAGTTTGGAGACCCCGGCCACACATATAAACCATACGGCTCCGATTTCGGAGTCCCCGGCTGGTAGTGGTTAATGTTAAACTAAGCTGCACAGTCTACGATTATTTTTTCTATTTTAAAAAATTGGAATAATTTTTAACTTGATTGGCATTCATGTTCTCTGGACAAATTGTTTATTCATGATCAGTAATGAATATTCATGATGCTGTTGAAAATACCTGAAGCTCCACTGGGGGGGATGCCAGCGCTGGTCGGAATTGTACCATGAATGATGCTCTCGGCTGGCACGATGTTGGCATGCGGGGGCGCCATTGTCGTCGTCACGGGCAGCCCCGTCTGGTGCTGCCCCGGGGGAGGTGCTACGGTGGACTGGATCACGTGACCACTGTTGTACAATTCGTTCTGGACGACATTCCGGGCTTCTGCTAGTGCCTCTGTGATGACGGACCCGATCAGGGATTTCTCTCGGCTGTAGATGACTGCCCGGCGGTCCTTGAATTCGATTTCCTCGTAGGGCTGGACACTCCTCAGGTCCATGTGCCCGCTGCTGGTAGCAGGGACAGTGACAGACTGGGTGACGGAGGGGGTGAGGGCCGGGGAGGGGGAGCCCTGGATCTGGCTGGGAAGGGGCGACAGCGCCCCTTGTAGGTGGCGCTGGATGTGCATGTGGTGCACGTGCAGCCCCTCGGGTGTGGGTAGCATGGGATGGGGCTGGGGTGTTGTGGAGAGGGGCGTGGGGGCCATGGAGACATGGGGTGACCCCTGGAGGGTGGCGGCAGCTGGCAGGGGCAAGACAGGTTGGCGGTCCTGCGAAGGGGAGTGGACACGCGGTGACTTGGTGCGATTCAGGACGACACCATGCTGGCGCTTCCGATGCTTGTACAGATTGCTGCTGGTGCTGGTGGTATAATCGCACATCTCACATTTCTTCTGTTTCTCTCCTGGAAAGAAGGAAAAAAGAATATCTCATTATACCCCTGAGAACAGGTGTAAATGGCCAAAATATCAACATGTACAGTCATTAATGCAATCGTACTAAATCGCACATGGCTGCACAGGATGTGTAGAGATAATGTCAAAGAGTTGGCATAGATCTATGGAAATGTATAACGTTGAGCAAGTTCAGAAGATGATTAACCGCACTTCAACAAATTCCATTTGAATTTAGGACAGGTTGACCTAGTGAGTGAAAATCTTATTTGCCAACAAGGGTATGAATTGGGTTGCTCAAGTTCACAGTCAAAGTTGCTCTTCTTGATTTTCTGAGGAAAATCACTGGCTTAATGGTGTTAGCCGCTTCAAGAATCTGTCTTTCTTCAATCTATTATGAAATGCAGATAGAGTCAGTCAACCCTTCCAGACTAAGAGCAAACAGCAGGCCAGCCACCCACCTGTGTGCATCTTCTCGTGATCCTGGAGACTGGCTTTGGAGCGGGACTCAAAGCTGCAGTACTCGCAGCGAAACGGCTTGTGCTCCGGGTGCTTCTTCATGTGGGCGCGCAGGTTGTAGGCGAAGGGGAAGGCGGCCGGACAGAAGGTGCACCGGAACGGCGTGGGCCGGGGCAGGTGCTTGCGGGCGGCGTGCAGCTGGCACTCCTTCTCGCTGAAGAACTTCTTGCCGCAGGTGTCGCAGAGGATGCGACGGATCTTGAGGTGCTTGCGCTTCATGTGCAGGTTGAGGGTGTCGTGACGCTTGCAACGGTAGCTGCAGAGCTCGCAGCCGTGGGGCCGCACCACCAGGTGCACCTTGCGGTGCATGCGCAGGTTGATGGCCCGCTTGAAGCTCTTGCCGCACTGGTCGCACAGGTAGTTGCGCTCCTCCTGGTGGATGGGGGCGTGGGCGTTCAGCCGACTCTGGTCGCCGAAGACGGCGTCGCAGATGGTGCACTTGTAGGGCTTGTCTCCTGTGTGGGTCTTCAGGTGTCGCCGGTAGTGGTGCATCGTGCCCTGGATGAACTTCTGGCAGAATTCGCACTGCTGCTCCCGCACCGTTTTGGGAGGGCGCTCCTTCTTGTGGGCCGCGCTCCTGTGGTTCTTGAGCTGACCCTTGAACTTGCAGGCAAAGTCGCACTCACTGCACCGGTAGCGGTCATCGAGTGCCCGCTTCTCCTTCTTCTCCTTCCGCTCCTTGGCTTCGGGGCTTTTGGCCGCCTTGGGGTGGGCCGAACGGCAGTGGAGCCGCAACGTCCGCTGAAATTTACAGACGTAGTCACACTGCGGGCACTGGTAGCGATTCTCGGGGATGCGGGACTGGTACTTGTAGACTGGGGCTGGGATGCCATGGACTCGACTCTTGTGGTCATGGAGGTCCTTCTTGAAGCGGCAGAAGAAGGTCGTGCAGAGGGTGCACTGGTAACGATCAGGAGCCACGTTGGACTGGATTTCATCCGCGACGCCCCCCGGTTCATGGGCATCTTCCGGGACTCGGGACTCCGGTTCCCTGCCTCCTTCCTGCCCTCCGTGCTCTGCCTTCTTCTCTTGGATTACCTTGGTGTAGTCTTCCGGATGTGAACCCCGCATGTGGGCACGCAGATTCTGCTTGAACTTGCAGACAAAGTGGCAGTGCTGGCACTTGTAGCGGTCAGAGGGGATGGCCGGCCGCAGTTTGGCCCTGGCCCTTGGGCCGGGTGCGGCTGCAACAGCAACCCGCCGGTTGACCCGCCTGGCGTGTCGCTTGAGCCGGGATGCACTGCGCTTCACGGGTCGGTAGGGGACGTACTCCTCGTCCTCCTCCTCTGGTTCCTCCTGGGGCTTCTTGCTGGCAGGTCGGCGGCGAGAGTGAATGCGGTCAGCAATGGAATCAAGGCCCGTGCTCTTGGCTGGACCCGGTGCTCCATCTTGGGGCGGTTGGGGTTGAGCAGTGCTGATCTCTTTCAGGGACTGTTCGATCCTCGAAACAATCACTGTGGCTTCTCTGCTGGCATTCTGATCACTGCGATGGGTCTTTTCTTCTCTCTCCTCCACATTCTTGCTGCTTCCATCCTTCTCTCTAGACACTTGCGAGCTTACATTATCTCTAAGTCCTGGTGAAGGGTGTGTGTCGTCACCTGTGCGGCTCTGTTGGGTAGAATGCAGAGCTGGGGTCACACTGGGTGTGTCTGATACAAAGGGTGTGGCATTAGGCGTGTCCTTGTTTGACAGAGTTGAAGCATCTTCTGAATGATTCTTGGCTCCAGCATCTTGGGATAAACTTTGATTGGCTTGATCTGTGCAGTGAGGAGAGAAGAGAGAATGATTTTTAGGCACCAAAAGCAAATTAAAATTTGTTGCTGTGCAAATTTGTATGAGAAAAATTGCACTCAAAGACAACTCTCTAGTGGGCTATTAATACCTATTTTGTTGGCTATTTTTATTAATGCATTAACAACCTCAAGCCTGTGCACCCATCTGTGGGCATCTCATTTGAAATGGGTTCAACGCCTTTGAAGCCTCAGTGGCAGACAGCTATGGTCTGGATGTACATGTAGGTGCAGCACTATAAAATATATCTCCTCGGACTTTAACCCTAGTTTACACAGAAACGTACCACTAGGTGTATCCGATCCCGCTGCTGCCACCGTTTTACCAGGTTCTTTCCCTTGGTACCTGTGTTCAACCATGTGCAGCTTGATCTGCAGCATGTCCTTGGTGCTGAAGCTGCACCTGTCACAGGAGAAGCTGAAATCCATCTCATCCAGCAGAGTGGGATCCATGTTGGCTGACTGAGTGCAGTGGATCAGCTAGTGAGAGCTGTGTTGATTGATCTCTGATGTCCACTGTCAAAAAGACAATTTAAATTCTGGTCTCTGATCTTTTTATCTTCTTCCTTTTCACCACTTTCACAGGTCTCTGCAATGTCTAATGTATTGTATCTACAGGTAAAGCCTGTATCTTACAATAAAAGTGTCCAAATGCACCTTTGGAAAGAAGTAAGTACATGTATATACATGTACGTGCATTTCTATAGGAATCTGCAGACAACCCTGGGAAATACTCGTTGAAACCCATCCACACAAGTAAGGACTGCAATTCCAAATGGAGAACTGGACCTGATCGATTAAAATCTAGGCCACAGAGGTGGGACAGAGTGGGTAGAGTGCACCGTAACAAGGCACTTGACTTTTGAGTCACTTCAGAATTTGACTGGAAAAGACTTTGTTAATTGACAATCAGTGGTTCACAAACACCATGTGCACACAAACGACTTGGGCACTATTGCCTGTGAGCATCATGTCTTAATAAGATTTGGTAACAGCTCAGGCAGATTGACAGATCAAATCTGGAAAACACATTTCCCACCCAAAAAAGTTTACAACTGGATTTTGGGAGGACCCATAATTATTTGTGTAAAATTAATCCTGTGTATACAAAATAATTAAAGACTGTCTGTACAGTGGAACAATTAGTTAAAGTGTGCAGCTGTGATTTTTTTTGCAAACATGTATGCAAGTGTGAATATCAATTTCGTTGGCATCCACCATTCTTACTGTGCTTCATCATGTTCTATATTTTAATATATTGTTGCCGTTTTGGCAGTGGGCATACCTGTATCTCTGTATTTTTAAAATTTGTTTCCTATGCTTTTCCCTATACCTTAGAACAGATGCAAAGTTTTATGTTCCATTCCGCCCTTTACTTAGAATCTAACTTTTAACACTCAAGTTTCATTTCATTTTTTAAAACTATTTGTCTGATTTATTAGGCCATGGCCTACATGAAGGCCTATGTTTCAGTTAAAATTTTACTTTCAATTTTGAGAATTCCCTCCGAGACCTTTTAATGTGACAAATAATTTTGACAATTTGTGATGAATATAGGGCCGTACGAATGGTGCTGGAACGTCCTTTGGGGAAAAGTTCCATTAATATGCCCTGCAGTTAGAAAAAAGCAAAAACATGTCCAGAAAAGTTCAATTTAGGAGGGAAATTACCAAGTCGTTTACTAAGAAAAACACTTAAAATTTTTCAGACCAGTCTCATAGGTTTGTGCACAGGGTGTCAAGTGGCGTCCGTATATGGACACTGACAGAAACCGGAACTCTTCCCCATCCTTTTTCATCACCGGGCCAACGCAGGCCTCGGCAGCGGGCTGGGCACAGTGCAACAACTTGAACAAGCACGGCACTCAAACGACCGTCATGACCGTGGCACGACCGAGACTGTTTTGCAGTCGTAAACGTGTGCGATATGCCTACCACCAGTACCACGAACAGTGCCACATCCAATTCCCCCCTAAAAGCACCCCAGATTTTCATCATTACGATGCAGATAAGTCAGTGTGACTGTCAAAGCAACTACACTGACAAACGATTAAAACTGTAAACAATATCTCTTTGTTTCCCATCAAAAATTCAGAACTAGAAACATCGGTTTTTCTGACATGGCCTTTATTTGCATGTCCACGGAAAAAAGATCAACGGAGAACAGCGAAGAGAAAAATACGGGTCTACTTCGAATTAAATAGTCAAATTTACAACCCTATTTCTGCAGTTTTTCTCCATTTATTTAACTTTGAATGAATAAACGATTATTGAGTGTCACAAATACATGAAATATGTGATGAGAGAGACGTGAGATATGGCAAATAATGGCCGGAATACCTACCACTCTTTTCAGCCAGGGAAACAAAATTTCATTCTTCGGAGTCCGCCATGACAGTGGCCCATTTTCCCTGCATGGACACTGAGGGCGCTTGAGACATTTTGCAAACAACACTTAACTTTATAAATGTTATGTTGGCGTTTATAACAATGACCAAAAGTTTAGAAGTCTTTGCGTGGATTTTTTTTCGGGAATTGAGCTTAGGGTTCCAAGAAATTCCCGGCAACGGCTGATCAAGCGATCTGCAGAAATGTTCTGCGATAACTGAAGAAGTTATTTTTAGTATAACTTTTGTGGCTTTTGCAGCGTTTAGGGGTGGGTTTGAACATGGAGCTATAAAAAAGGATTTTTGAAGAGCAAAGAATTCCGAGATCGAGAGTTTGGCTGAAAATTGTCAAATTGAATTAATTCCTCTGTTTCCCAGCCAACAACTTTGTAATAACTTGTTTTGTCTGTCTTTGTGTATTTTGTGCGAGTGTTTGTAATTTAATAAGTAATGCTTATGCTACAAACGGGGCCCAAATACAAGCATTGTTTTCATTGGGTACCCCTCTAAAGCATCCTTTCTAAAGTGTGTGGTCGTATCATTCAATCATATTTATGTATTTATTAAAAGTTTTATTATCGTGTGTGATTATTATGCCGTAGAAAATGAAATAAATCTTGAATTTTGAATTAGTCAGATCATGCCCGAAGCTGGAATACAGTTGAAGATTAACAGCCACCGATTAAAAAAAAAAGACCAGTGCGGAGCGCCGTACTAAAACTTCAGGTGTTTTTCAAAACGCTACTTCCACCTTGATAAAAATTATCATCGAGCAACAATAGTAATAAATTTTTACATGGAAAGGTCGTTGGATTGGATTTGAAGTAGGTAATCGTCCTGGTTATGTCCGACCACCAAAAATGAATCTGTACCCCCGTATGACCCATTCTATTTACTCGAACATGAAAAAACCATGTACCAAAGACGGACTGCAGAAAACACATAGGGCTTGTCACTGAGCCATTTATTTGATAAAGATGAAATCCAGTCAAATTGGTGATTTGAAAAATTAGTTTATTTTTGCATGATTATGAAAGCCTCATTACAAATTGACAACCAGGGTAGAAGTTTATACATACTGGGACCAACTTAAAAAAAAAAGTTGAAGAGTTAATGACGACTTCTGGTAAAAAATACTTTAGTCTTATTTTGAAGGTTTGCATGGTGGACGTAGAAACGTGATTAAAAAAGTTCGCAGTGGCGCTGTGTCAGCGTTCTCAACATTGTGGGTAGTATTCTCTATCCATCTTCAGGAGATACAGCAAACTTGAACTGACCGAAATTTTGAGCACTCTGGCTGTTTGATAAAAACAAAGATTTTATGACAAAAGTACATGAAAAGTACTTGGCTGATACTTTTCAAATACCTTTCTCCTTGAAACAGAAATTTCTACCAAACTGGGAGTGTCCGAGGTCTTCAATTTATTTTTATTGGTGTTGATTATTAATCTTTATTTGTTTGTGCATTTACTACGAAATGTCCATTATTCTCTAGAACACCTGCCCAATTCAATATTTGACAGGACAACTTAATTGCTCAAACAATACTCGATTACCAAACTGGGCTAGACACATCTTGCCTTGCCATGCTTTGTTCTAGAATAGTTCTTTGTTCAGCCCAGGGTTAGATTTATGTACACAACTGACGCTGAGCAATTTTCCAGGAGGGGGGGCGTTTTGTGTGAGACCATCAGGTATCAGCCATCAATAGGCCAAGCCCCTCCCTGTTATAGGACCTGCAAAAGAGTGGGGGCCCGCCGCCCCCATCTAAGAAGTTGGAGGGGCCAGTGGCCCCTAGTCTACCCTCCTTGTGCTGGCAGTGCATGTGCATCTCTCCAGCCAAACCAATAAATAATTCCTCATCACCATGCACTTTCCACACAATGACTACTGCTAAACAAATTGATGCCCTCAGCCAAAGTCCACGAATTAGCAGTCACAGGTGGTATACAACACATATCATTTCAGTTGGTAACCGGTCTCTGCTAAGCCATTATTTATTGTGCTTAGCAGCAAATGACGCAACATAAGACCACACAAGCTAATTTCAGTTCTGGTTTGGGCCCACCCTGAAATATAATGCAAACTCCAGGGGATGCATTTTCTCCTTTGAAATAAGTGCCCTGACGTAGGGAACAATTTGATGGCTCAACGGTCCTCCTGAGAGTCTTATAAAGTCTCTCTGGCCTCATTCCGAGCACGGCAGATGTCTTAATGAAACAAGCTATGTTCCAGGCTATTTTGTTCATGAAACTTTTTTGGGGGGGGGCCCAAACTACTTAAATTTCCCCCAATCTTTTTGCCAGATTTAATTTTTCAAGCAGTATTTTTTGGTACGCACCTGAAATAAGGCCATTTTTTCAGGATGGACCTTTTAGCGCTGACACAATGAGTTGCATATTCCCAAAATAGCTTCTGGTATCTGGAATTAATGCCCCCCCCCACACCATGGGTGTCATCAGGAAGTTTTGGAGGGGGGTTGGGAAAGCACTCATCATTAGCAAACTGGCAAACCATTACCAGTGGTAGAAGGGATCAGTTCCAAGGATTTTCAAATAAACTGGTAATTTTCATGCCCTTTCTTCTTTCTCCTGTCTCCTTTAACCCCCCCGCAAGCACCCTCATGCCCCCCCCAGCGACACCCATTCCCCCCATATTGCTGGTGGCTCCACCCCTCTCGACGTCCAGTGTGATGAGTTATTTCTCCCGCTTGAATATCTTGCGAGCGTAGGCCACGAACATCTCCTTGGGCAGGCTGCCGCTGTGCTTGTCGATCAGCGCCATCAGCTCCTCGAAGCTGCTTTCCTCGTAATTGTGGTAGAGCGTCTCCAAGTCCAGGTCCTTGTACAGCTTCTTCACCATGGCAACCTTGGCCGTGTTGTCGATTCCGTAATTTTCCTGAAAGGAAAAAAAGGAAATTGGCCATCACTGAGATTCAATCCTTCAATTTATCCTAGAGGGTGTACAAGACATTGCAAGTAAAAGTCAACCTGGAAACGGGAAATTCCTGTCACACTTTTCCCTTCCCAGAGAATTCATTTTCATTTCGCCATAATGTGAAAACCATTTTGTTCAGTGGGAAAACATGTTCAGACCTTTTTAGCAGAAGTGGAAAAGCGTTTTCACACCATGTAAAATGCAAATGTGACTGTGGATACAAAGTCCTTCCACAAACTTTCCCGTTGCCATTCACAGTATTAAATTTCAATTAAATTTCTATTAAAGAATTCTATCTATTGAGATTAGAAGCTTTGATTATCCAATTGGAGTGCCCTTAGTGTGTAGTGAATTTTCTTATTGGCTGAATAGCCAAATGTAGCACATTTGGCTATTGGCTCATGAACATCAACCACTTATAGCATAATGAATGGTCGTGTCTCCCTGCAAGGGTTTCACGCCGTGTTCACAAAAATTTTGCAGAGTTTTGCGATTCTTTGCCCTTTTCACATTCGATTTGCAATGAATAGCAAGGGGGAAAAGGAGTCCGCAAAATGCAAAATGTGTCATGTGAACGCAGATTCCTTTCGCAGTGTATCTCATTCCCATTCACAGCATGAACTTTCAATCACGCTGTTCTGCATGACGTTACATACGCTTTGTTCAGGGGTGCAGTTTCCTATGGTGCCAGGCCCGGGCGTCCACTGAGCATCACAGCAAAATGAACACGTCAACAAACTGTGGTGTTATCGGTACAGATGTCTATTTGGGGTGGGGGGTGGAGGGCTGAGATCAGATTGGGGGATGAAGAGAATTCTACCAAGCATCCAGGAGTAAGGTTGTCAACGACGACAATGAATTACTAACGTCTCAGGTTTTTCAACAGCTGACAAGCCATGAGTCACTAAAATGGCTACCATCATTTGAATCCTTCCCTTTTTTTTATTTACCTATGCCAAAAGCAAAGAAGTTCACCCTAACTAATTAAACCTCCAATTGTCCCTGTATTTTTGGGCAAAAAAATCTTGATCACATGAACAAATTCTACAAGCTCACAAATGCCTTAATACTGGGCAAATCAGGATAAAAGATGGCCTTTTCTTTGGCGGAATGAAAAGAAAAGAAATTCTTCTTTGTGGTTTTGCCAAGGGGGATTGGGGAAAACCTCTCACCTCCAGGAGCTCTCGCTGCTCAGCAGTGGCCACTTTGAGAGCCTGGACCACCAACCAGCTGCATTTGTTCTCTTCGATATCCGTTCCTATCTTCCCTATAACCTCTGGGTTGCCATAGCAATCAAGGAAGTCGTCCTGGCATGGACGAAAAATATGACAAATTTCCATCATTCCATTTTTGTTGAAATTGTTGGTAGGTACACGTATGTTAAAAAGACTGTCTTTATTTCTATGCTCAAAACACAACCATGGGCAAGCCATCCAGCCAACCTGCAAAACAACGATTTCAACTTATGCAGAAATCAGTTGTTCAGCTAACTGAGAACTAAAAATGAAAGTGGCCACAATTGTTTCATTCGGATGTCGATCTGGATCAGTGACCCCAACCCTGGTTTGCTCCGTCCATTACGTGGGTTCTGGTGTCAGTGAATCATCGTTGGATCACTGATCGCGATCCACATCTGCGGGAATCACAAAGGCCTATTGGTTGACAAAAAGAAATTTGATCCATTGCTGTTTTTTACAAGTGGCATCTTTGAGACAAAAAAGTTATACACATATGATCACGCTTGTGGAACTGTGTAACGACACGTACTGGCCACTGAGTGGCAGTGGTGCCGGAAAACCAAGCTGGATGCAAGATTACCTGGATTTGGAAGAAATGGCCCATCTGTAGCAGGATAGTCTTGGCGTCCCTGTGAGACTGTGCGTCCGTTATGCCCACCTGTACCGAGCAGACGGGGAAGACAAGACAAAGAAAGATGTCTCTATACTTTCCTAGACATTTTTAACGCAAGTCCACTTGCTAGTGGTAGGGTGGTGTCTCACGATCAGAGGGTGGAGGAGGCTAATCCACCTGCTGCCCATATTCGGTGTCCTTGGGCAAGCCACTTTATCCCAACTCGCCTCTTTCTACCCAGGGGGTGCAGATAGGTACCGGCATTAGCTTGGGAGTAACATGTGACAGACTAGAATCCCATCCAGGACAAATAGAGATATAAAGTGGCCTGATGACCGAGCCACATTGACTCTTCATGGACCTTGCTTTAATTTGAACAAGTCATAATTATGCACTTGATTCCAACTACTGAGTGGTGGTGGATGTACTCAAGTACTGTATGGTACTCATACTCATATTTACACTCAA